GCTGCCGGAGCAGAGCCACACATCTCCCCTCGCTTCCCAGGCTCTGGTTCAAAACCATTTCTCCCCCACAATTTTCCCCGTTTCCCTCCTGAAGCTTCCCCCAGGGCAGTCTGCAGTGCGGTCAGGACATGTCTCCCACAGCAGCCTCACGACAGCGACCTGCAGACGACAACCCCCTCTCCTCCTGCCTGCACCTTCCACCGCAGCCGCCCTGCATCCGTGTCCCCTTCCAACAGGGCCTCGGACCCCTACCAGACTGGGCCCCTGCCCCAGCCAGATCCTGCTGCCTTCCAAGCCCAGTAAGTCCTTCTGGTCCCAGTATTTCCTCTCCACTGAGGACTGGGCAGCAGATCGATGGGCTGAGCATCTCCTGGGGGCTCCGCTTGCTCTCCAGGGCCTTTCAGAGCAGCACGGGCTCACCCCGGAGCACCACAATTCCCACACGCCAACAGCTCCTTCTCTCCCAGTATCACCAGTATCAGCTCGTCTATATTCCAGTCCTGCAGCACTGTCAGATCCCAGCTTGCCTGCACATTCACAGGAGAGGAGACGTGGGTCAGAGCAACGTAGAAAAACCCTCCTGTCACTGGAGATGGGGACATGGCCACACCGGTGGCTGCACAGCGACTTCCATCCACTGGAGACATGACTTGATTCATTATTTTCCCCCACACCAATTATTTTGATGCTGGAAAGACTGAAGCGAGTATTTGAAGTCATGCGGGGCGTTTTCCCCTCAGGAGGCCCGTCCACCTCCCGGCTGCAGCCCCAGCGATGTCACTCGATGCAATCACAACGAACAGTCGCACCTGTACGGCAGTTGCGTCATTTGAGACCTCCGCCAACGTGTTAATCCACCGAGAAGGAACCCACGGGGGCTACGGACACCCAGCTGGTGCCACCCATGGGACACCGACCTGTAGGCAGAGCCTGCCTGGCAGGAGAGGTTTCCACGTGGCACAAGGAGGTGACAACTGAAAAGCCCTGCAGCCAGACCCCACACCCAGCTTCCAGCTGCTTCACACCAGCATGGAGGGCTCGGGTTCACCTTCCCTTTTTTTTTTTTGACATCATCACTGGGAATCAGAAGCAATCCTTTTCCAGAAAGACTTATGAAAGGCAGTTCCTCAAAATTCAACTGTGTGTGCTTCACCGCTCCTGTCCACTGTCTGGCCATTCGGCTTCACTCAAAATTATTCTGTTTCTGAAGAGAACCAACATTCGCGTGGAGAGGGAGCTGCAGGCTGAGAGGGCACCCACCGAAGCACAAACCTCACCTAGCATCATCTACGGGAGAACAGAAAGTGCTCCAGTGCGTTCTTAACCTGGGATCATGGGAGAGAGCACCCAGGAGGAGCGACACGGAGTAGGGTAAACACAGCACCAGCTTCAGCCATGCCCATCTTCTCCAGAAGGTTTTGATTTGAGCGAGGCATTCGCTGTCAGGGCAAGAACCTGTTGCATGTTTACGAAAGGCTCCATCCCCTCTTCTCTCTGGCCAGCGATGCACCACATCCCTCTACCAAAGGCTCTGGGGCTGCCACAGAGCCAGAATGATTGAGACCACTGGACTTTTTCCCAAGTGAAAAGGTGCTTTGCAGCCTCAACGTTACTAAAAACACTCCAGCGGTCCCGATGCTGAAATTCTCGGTCAGCATTTCAGGAAGCAACTTGCATCCACTTGCCAGCACAGAAATCCACATTTATTCCTGTCGCAGGAGGCTGGTACGCAGCGGAATGGCCTCCAAGGAAGGCACGGGGCTCAGCGCAGGGCAGAGACGTTTGCCAAGCTCCCAGTGCTTTAATGGGAGGACACAGCATCACCCAGGTGCTTAATTCTACAGAGCAGGACCAGGCTGGAAACTCCAGCCAGTGTTGAAGCAAATACAGCGTAAATGCAGACCAAAGAGCACACAGACACCCAGGGGAGCCAAGCGCAACAGGATCAGCTCCCCAGTCAAGCACAGCGCCCAGCCCCTCGTTCAGAGTCACGACGACTATCTCTTGGATGAAAGGAAGCTGAAGTTCCCCCTCCCAGGACCTCAGTTCCCTTGCTGAGCAATCCTGAAGCAGAGAGAGTCAGCCGGCTGCAGCCTCGCTACAGAAACCCCAGCAGCAGGTCACGGAGACTCAACACACCCAAAATATCATCATCTAAATCCTTACCAGAGCTGTGGTAAGTCGTGATTGAAGCGGGTGATTTAAAATTTAAAAGCTACCTCATTCCCAACAGGAGGAAGGGCATTAACTTCCCCACGCGAATCCCTCCCTCCCAGGAGCAAAGGTCTCTGAGCCCACGAGGGCAGGTTCTTACCTTGCTAACATTGAGTGAAGCTAAAGGAGGAGGCGTTTCCGTGCGGTCATTAATTATTTCCACTTCTGAAACATACTGTAAGTTTACAAGCAGGATATCTGCGTGATTAGGCTTTCCACTGGAAGAGGGGCATTCTGGAGGGGAAAAAACATTAAGGAAAACAAATCCAGACAGAGACATTGATAGGTCTGATGCACAGAGCTGTCCAGGAGCAAACGGGGAGAACATTCGGTTTTCAGCGAGTTCCTCCACCACTCCTGTCCCTACTCAGCCAAGAACGGGGTCATCTGAGACCCCAACAATGCCACCTGTCTCTTCTTGGACCCATTTAATGCTGATTCACGTTTCCCGACTATAGCACAAGTTTTCCAGCCAGTAACTGCTGTACCCAGAACACACACAGCCTGGGATGCTGCGTGGTCCCCTCCAAAAAAGCAATTTAGCCCTGACTAGCCTGAGAGGTGCGAAGGTGCTGCTGCCAGGGCCCCAGCTGCGGTGCTGCCTGCTTCCTTGCTCACCACAAGCACCAGCCAACAAACACTGGTCTGCACAGTGAAGTGAACCAGAACAACCACTGTGCCTCAAATTTGCACCTTTTATACCATAACTATTTCCTCTTGCAGGCAGCGGCTAAGCCAGAGCCTCCCCAGGAGCAGCCCTGCGTGCGGATGGAAGAGGAGCTACTTAGCGGCTCTGAGGGAAAGGCCTCCTCATCCTCGCGCACCTCCTGGGCTGCACCTTGAATGCAGCGAGGTTTGTTGTGGTCGGTATCGCAGCACGACTGGAAAGTGTAAATGAGACAACAGTACACCACCCCCAGAAAAAAAACCCACCCCTTCTAGAGCTGACATTAATTCCTGTGCAATCTGTTCCCCAGGAGGCTGCGTCGGTAGCCCTCTGCTCCTTCAGCTGCTGGAAGGAGCAGAGAGCACGGCACAGATAGCCTCTTCCAGGCCGACGCCATCTCCTCCTCGGAACAGATGCTCGTGGAGGTGATTCTTCCTCTCCTCCCATCCCACCTGAGCCTCACTGTGCAGCTGAAGCCCTCCCTAGCAAAGATTTTTCAATAAAGGACAGAAAACGAGGGATGCCCAGGGAGCTCCAGTCTCTTCCTTTGGGGGGATGAGATGGACCATCCCAGCTCGGACAGGAAGAGCCAGAGTTAGGGCAAAGCCAGAACGGGAGCTCTCAGCCCTCTCCGGGGCAGACTGGCAGCACAATGCAGTAAGCCAACCTGTTGGACATCGTTTAAGACTTTCCTACAGCCTCCACTTGGGCCTGGGGAGCTTCCTCCACCCAAACCACACCAGCACAAACAGGAGTTCACCCTGGGACAGGTCCCCTAGTCCCCCTCCAGAACCACATCACACCCCAGCAACCCAGCAGGGCTTTTCCTATCCCATTTCTCACAGCTCCAGCCTCCAGACACGAACCCCCCCTCACAGCTCTTCCCTCTCTCATTCCCTCCAGAACCCACCCATGGGGCCTCGAGCACTCTCCCAGCCCCCTTCCAAGACCAGTCCCTGGGCTGAGCATCACTTTCCTCAACTCTGTGCTCCCTCTGCCATTCTCTAACAGCCCTTTGCTTTCACCTTACTTGCAGGTTAAAAACAAAAGCACAACCTTGGGTGCACACACATATATATTTATATTTTAAACCCTCCAGCACTGCCTTCATGCCTCTCCTCCACACAAGGCCTGAGGCAGCCCCAGACCCCCCTCCATCCCCTTTACCCTCCCAGCCTCAGGGCACTTCTCCTGGCTCACCCACCGGCCCTCCTGGAGTGCTCCCAACCCACCCAGGCCTGCCCCACAGGGTTTCTCTCACAGAGGTCCCCAAACTTCTCATCCCCACAGGCCCCCCCCTACCCTCAAAGGGCCTTGCCTTGCCTCTATGGTCTCCCCTTAAATCCCCATAGGCCCATTGAGGGCTGTCCCCCTCCCCAAACCCTACAGGAGTCTCCTGACCCCCATTACACTAATACTTCCTATGGGATTACATCCTTCCAGGCCTCCCCATCCTCCCTAAACCCCGGCAGACCCTCACCGTGCCTCCAAGGCCTCCCTCTGCATCCCAAAGAGGC